AAAAAAAAAAAAAAAAAAAAAAAAGCCAAAACAATGCCAAATGCTTTATCTACATTTTCTCGAATCTCCAAAACAACCCCAAGGTAATATTACATATTTTATTTTATTTTATTTTGAGCTGGAGTCTCACTCTGTCGCCCAGGCTGGAGTGCAGTGGCACGTTCAGGCCACCGCAGCCTTGATCTGCTGGGCTCAGGTGATCCTTCCACCTCAGCCTTCCGAGTAGCTGGAACCACAGGCGTGCGCCACCACGCCCGGCTACTTTTTAAAAAATTTATTGTAGAGACGAGGTCTCACCAAGTTGCCTAGGCTGGTCTCAAACCTCTGGGCTCGGACAATCCTATCGTCTCCGCCTCCCAAAGTGCTGGGATTACAGGCGTGAGCAACCGCAGCCGGTAGCTATTACATATTTTATAAACGAAAAAACTGAGGCATAGAGGTTAAATAAATAACAATGTCACTCAGCCTAGAAAGCGGCAGAACCATTGGGACACCATAGTTTGAGCTTTAACCAACACAACTTATTCAAACCTTAGTACAGCTACGTCTCCTAAACTTTCCCTCCACTCACTGGGCACGAGAGAGAGGGGGAAACATCAGATCGAACAGGCCCACAGTAGAATTCAAGCCTGGCTCTGTACCCGAGTCCTGCTCGGTACGCAGGGATGGCTCCCGGACATCTCTAAAAGCTACTAGAGTTCGAAGAGGAGGCGGAGGAAGGGGTAACCTTGCATCTTCCACGCGGAACTGGAAAGGTGTTCGTGATTTTCACGAAGAGCCGGAGAGGTCTGACGCTCAATCAGAGCGACAAAGGGGCCAGGGTCACCGGGAAGAGTCCTGGACACGAAGCCCAGTAAGTCTGGGATGGCTTCCCAGGCCTCCACGACCCGGGCGAGTCGCTCTATCTCTGGTGGCCTCAGTTTTCCCGTTCCCTCAAAGGATCTGTGCCGGACAGGGAGCGTCCAAGTCTCCAGGGCCCTCCCGACTTTGGCCTGAGGAGCCGGCCAGCTTTGCCGCTGAGAGAGCAGCCGCCAGCCCCCGACCCGACCGTCCAGGGGCCTGAGAGGCCGACCTCGGCGGCCCAGGGCACTTACAGCCCGGAGGGACGCCAAGCCCACCAGTCGCCACGGCTGCACCTTCCTCACTGTCGCCATCTTGCCCAGCTTTCCCTGCGGCCGCGGAGCTGGACCCCATGTGACAGCCAGAAGCTTGGTCCCGCCCATGGGCGGAGCCTACGCAGGGACGCCCAGGGCAGGCTCCACCCCCAGTCTCCGAGCGCCTCTTACTTGCCAAGCCCAGTGAGGCGCTAGGGACATAAAGAGGAGCAAAAATTATCCAAGGTCTGTGGCTTCACGGGGTTAGAGTCTGAGAGGTGTGAAGAGACAGATACTAGCAATCACACCAATAGTTGTGTAGTTTCTAACTTTCATTATAAGAGGCAGCATCACTATTTGCCACTCCGTTTTCTGAGTTCTTTGCACGAATTAACTCATTCATCAAGATCTTCTGGCTTCAAATGCAGTCACCTCCAGAGAGGGAAGCATCGTTTGATTTCATACCTTGAAGAATGCATAAGATCTATCCAGGTGAAGAGGATACAAGAAAGCTTTCCAGAGGGAACAGCATATTGAATGGTCATGAGGTAAAAAAAAATCGAGTGCAAAGTTTTTCGATTGTGTATTGTGTCCCATTAATTGGTCATAATATCAATTTAGTGGGTACTTTCTTTAAAACAAAGAACTAGAATAGAAAATATTAGAATACATTATGTAAAAGTAGTAAGGCTCAAGGTGGAAGGATCTATTGAGGTCAGGAGTTACTGACCAACTTCTGCAAGATACGGATACTTCCTCTCTGCAAAAAAAAATTTTAAAATTAGCCAGGAATGGTAGCTTGCTTCTGTTATCCAAGCTACTCAGGAGGCTGAGGTGGGAGGATTGCTTGAGCCCAGTTTAGGCTGCAGTGAACTATGATCATGCCACTGCACTCCAGCCTGGATGACAGAGTGACACTTCGTTTCCCCTCCCAAAAAAATTAGTAAAGTTAAGTACTGCTTTGCAAAATTTTATTATATGTCTCAAGCAGGTACAATGTAAAATAAATTTCTTGCTTTGGGCTGCAATCAGAAATATTTGAAAAACGCTTGTTTAGAAAGATGGAAAGTGGGCCAGAATGATTGGAGAACAGCAAGGGAGTAGGAAGGGGACTTCCTACTAAGATTGGAGAGGTAGGCAGAGCCCTATCACGGGGTTTGAGAGGACATGTTAATAACTATCTTAATAGCAATGCTTTTAAAAGGTTTAAAGCAGGGAGATATGATTAAATTTGCATTTTGTAAATAGTCACTCTGGCTACAATGTCCACTGTCTTTGGTATTCCACTGTCCACTGTCTTTGGACATACCACTGTCTTTGGTATTCTCAGGGGGAGGCCTCTGCAGGGGAGGCAGAGAACACACTTTCTTTACCTTCGGGGGCTCAGACTTTATACAGAGAACAAGACACAATAAGTATTTGGCTAGGTTTCAGCAGCACTAGAAATTTTCTCTATCATATAACTTAGACTTAGAGCACTACTTACGGAATTCTCAGACCTGCAGCTAGAGGATAGAATTTGGCCCAAAGATACCAGAATGGTATTTTTTTTTAATATAGATTTTGGCCAGGAGCAGTGGCTCACACCTATAATCTCAGCATTTTGGGAGGCCAAGGCTGGAGGATTGCTTGAGGCCAGGAGTTTGAGATCAGCCTGGGAAACATAGCAAGACTTCATCTCTACAAAAAAAAAATTAGCTGGGCATTCTAGCAGGCACCTGTATTCCCAGCTACTTGGGAGGGTGAGGCAAGAGTATCACCTGAGCCAAGGAATTTGAGGCCGTAGTGAGCCACGATTGTGCTACTGCACTCCAGCCTGAGTGACAGTGTCTCTAACTCAAAAAAAAAAAAAAAAAAAAAATATATATATATATATATAATATGGAACTTTCAAAATTTGCACACTGAACACTATAAACCATTGCTGAAAGAAACGAAAGAAAAAAATAAATGGAAGGGCATCCCATGTTCAAGAATTGGAAGACTCAATATTGTTAAAAGTGATCAACAGATTGAATCCAATTCCCATCAGAATCCCAACAATACTTTTTGTAGACATATAAAATTTTATTCTAAAGTTCTTTTTTTAGGCCTGCCATGGTAGCTCAAGCCTGTAATCCCAGCACTTTGGGAGACTGAGGCAAGAGGATTGCCTGAGACCAGGGCTTTGAGACCAACCTGGGCAACTTGGTGAGAATTTGTTTCTACAATAAATCACAAAATTAGCCGGGCATGGTGGCGCATGCCTGTATTTCCAGCTACTTGGAAGTCTGAGGTGAAAGGATTGCCTGAGTCCAGCAGGTTGAGACTGTGGTGGCCATGAATGTGCCACTGCACTCCAGCCTGGGCAACAGAAAGAGACTCCAACTCAAAATAAAAATTTTTAAAAAAATTCTTTTCTTTTTTTCCCTGAGTGGGAGTATCAGTCTGTCTGTTACCCAGGCTGGAGTGCAGTGGCATGCTCACAGCTACTGCAGCCTCCACCAGCTGGTCTCACGCGATCCTTCTGCCTCAGCCTTTCAAGTGGCTAAAACTATAGGTGTGCAACAACATGACTGGCTAATTTTTTAAATTTGTTGTAGAGATGAGATCTCGCCAAGTTGCCAAGGCTGGTCTTGAACCCCTGGGCTCAGGCAATTCTCTTGCCCCTGCCTCCCAAAGTGTTGGGATTACGGGCATGCGCTATCGTGCCCTGCCCAATCATTCTAAAATTCATATGGAGTCTCAAATGACCTTAAGTAGCCAAAATAATCTTGAAAAAGGACAGTTGGAGGACTCACAATTTTTTTTTTTTTTTTAGTTGCTTCACTTTATTGCCCAGGCTGGAGTGCAGTGGCATATGGCCACTGCAGCGTCGACCTGCTGGGCTCAGGCAATCCTTCTGCCTCAGCCTTCCAAGTAGCTGGCACTACAGGTGTGTGCTACCACACCTGGCTAATTTTGTTATTTATTGTAGAGATGAGGTCTCGCCAAGTTGCCCAGGCCAGTCTCGCACCCCTGGGCTCAGATAGTACTCTCATCTTGGCCTCCCAAAGTGCTGGGATTATAGGCTTGAGCCACTGTGCCCGGTATAATTTTTTATTTTAAAACTTGCTACAATATCAAAACAGTGTGGTACTAAAATAAACACAGGCATGCAGACCAATGAAACAGAATAGAGAGCCCAGTTTTAACTCCTGTAGATGTATATGGCTAAATTACTTTCTTTCTTTTTTTTTCTTTTCTTTTTTTTTTGAGTTGTAGTCTCACTCTGTCACCCAGGAGGCTGGAGTGCAGTGTTATGCTCACAGCCACTGCAGCTTCAACCCGCTGGGCTCAGGTGATCCTTCCGCCTCAGCCTTCCAAGTAGCTGAAATTACAGCACGCGCCACCACACCTGGCTAATATTTTGATTTAGTGTAGAGATGAGGTCTCACCCAGTTGCCCAGGCTAGTCTTGAACCTGTGGGCCCAGGCAATCCTCTCACCTCGGCCTCCCAAAGTGCTGGGATTATAGGCGTGAGCCACTGCATCCGGCCATGACTTTCAACTAAGGTGCTAAGACCACTCAATGGGGAAAGCACAGTCTTTTTAACAAATGATGCTGGAAATACTAGATATCTACAAGCAAAACAATAAAATCGGACCCTTACCTGACACTATATACAAAAATTAACTCAAAATGGAGCAAAAGCCTAAACACAAGAGCTCTGTAAAACTCTTAGAAGAGAATATAGGGCAAAAACTTCATGATATTGGATCTGGCAATAATTTCTCAGCTATGACACCAAAAGCATAGGCAACAAAAGAAAAAGTGGATGAATTGAAATTTATCAAAATTAAAAAGTTTTATGCAGCCGGGCTCGGTGGCTCAGCCTGTAATCCTGCGCCTTTGGGAGGCTGAGGTGAGTGGATTGCCTGAACCCGCG